TGGGTTGAAAACTGTTCCCACATTGAATTTTGCAAGCACGCAGCCGAAATGTTCATGCTGGAATGTCTCTAACCATTCAATTCTTATCTGCAAGACTGGGATGTTTCTCAAAGTGCAGAAGCACATTAACGCTAACGATCATGCCGGATGCCACATTAGAGGAATAATTGACATAATAACTTGATTTAAAGGAAGGACATTTTGAATGTAACCTTTTATTTGGTCCTCAGATTCGCACAGGGAAAAGTTGTGGCAGAACTGCTCGACAACATTTTATCAGGGAACATTTGCTGGCCGCTGAAATCAAGCCAGACTACAGCCGCGGCCCCATTAAAACCTGAAGTTAAAAACAGATTTGGCCTTGAATTCATTTGTAACAGGAGGTCCTTTGTGCATTTCTATGAAAGTTGAATAACAGGCTTAGATTGAGAACTTCATGTCTTCTGAGAACTTTATATGTTTCCACATTATTTTCAAACACACTCTTAAAGCCCACAAGAGTCTGCGAGTCTGACCTCTCAACAGCAGCAAAAGTCAAAAGACGCTAAATATGTTTGCTAAGCCATAAACCTACAAATCCCAAGAGCTGTGCTTCTCTACCGTGTTTCTGTTGCTCTGTGCCAATAATCACACAGGTCAGCGTGACCTGCGGGTCAGGGAGGTTTTCTAGGACAGGGTCATGACCTCAGGATCCTGTGTTTTTGCAGCCACACTCACGGATCAGACTCACTGAGGACAGAACCAAACTGCTCCATTCATCCACGTAGAGAAACGGGAGGATTTCGTGAGCGGTCGGCTTACAGCACTGTGGGATGACAATGAAGATTACATCTGAGCCCAGAGAAAAGATCATCTGAAGCAGTTCTTTAGTCTGAAGCCCATAGATGAGAGGAAACATGTTTGTGTAAAGCATTTCTTAACAGAAATCAAAACAACTGAACATGATGTAGAGGAAATGTACCTGCGCAGACGCAGGTTTCACGCCGCAGGATCGGCACTGGACGAAAGTGATGCTCTCTGGATAAACCACCCAGCGGTCCCAGCCCAGATCTGACACATTTACACAAAACAAGACATGCATGATGAGCCTAATCTCAGCAAAGCTGCCCAGGTCACATTTCACCCCGAAACCAATAGGAAAGTAAAGGACTGATATCATGTCTAAAGAAAACGAAGCCTTGCTTTCATTAATGACGTGTGAAGTATTTATACATTGTGCTCACATTTATTGTAGTTGTAAGGCCTTTTTTTCATGCTGATTTTAACTACAAAAAAGTTGCAGCAATGTAAGAGTCGTAGTAGGATGCATCTGAACGCTCACCTTTAATGAAAACCTGTGAGGAATGTTTGCAGCACGTTGAGTTTCCGGAGTCCTCAGGAAACGTTGAGTTACCTGCTAAATAGACAAGAGATCAAGTTTACCAGAAACCAGACCATGAGCCAGATCTCTGGGGTTCAGGGTACCTGGTGAGGATGGCGTGGTGCTTTCCAAAGTGGCTTTCCACTGGTCACGCAGATGATTCATCTTCGACACGGACACACGAGGCTCCCGCTGGAGGTTTAGAGATTCCAGAAGGATTTTCCTGATTTCCAGTTCTCTGCATCTGCAACAAAACACACATATCTGCAATGCATTGCAAACCCATAGTGTCATCACACCTTTGCAGAGCTTGTGTATGTGCGCCTGTCAAATTGCAGCCAAATGTTTAGGAGTGCAGCCGTGTACTGCCAGAGCTTCGGGGTGTTTGTGAAAGTTCAGCGTTTGACGCTGTAAGAGAACACCGGAGAAGACGGGAGATGCCCTCATTTATATCTCCAGAACATTATGTGGGTCTTTGCAGTCAGTTTGTACTGTACACAAAACACTGCAGTAGAGTCCAGAGCAAGAAAAGCTTTCTGAAAATATCCAGTAATTCTCTTTTGGTCAGTCGAGCACGATGAGGTCAGTTTGACAGCCGGGAGGGTTTGAGTCTCAAATGGAAGAACAGCGTGATGTGATCGTAATGAGGTTCATTCACCTTTTGCCCTGAGCATTCAAATATCAGCCCAAACCTCTACCAAAACTAAGACTAAGTTCATCTGGATTCATAGACTGATCACAGTGAGCGAGCTGTAACGAGGGTTTCTGCTAACAGCACATCTACCTGTACAAATGCATGAAACTCTCCCCAAAACCTCCTAATGAACAAGAGTGGAGGTGAGAATGATGCAATTACGCGAACACTTAAAACAAGATCTCCGATCCATTCATCGTGACATTGTTCATCTTTAAAACGTCAGCTTTTACCTGTTGGCTTTCACAGCAGATGCCTCAGGTGAAGGATGGAGAACAAACATCTTCCCAAGAGGACACCCGAACAGCACGAGTACGACACACAACACCAGATGCATGACTGCGGACTACAGGTTAACGCTGGGGTCTGTGCTGGACGCTCGCTGGACTCTCGCTGTCACTGGAGAGGAATGAATGAATGTTATTTGTAGCGGCCTGGGAAAGCAGGGGTTTATCTACTCTGGCCAAGCTTGGCCTTGGAATACTTTACTCTGTTTTCAAGTCGAGCAAACGGATGGTGTTGAAAAGGAGGTGGAGAATAAAGGTGGAACTGAGAAAAACACTATCATACAGTTACATTCTAGCAAAGACGATAAGCTCGAACCTGCAAGGGGACAGACAGAAAATATGAAAAAGATCAGCAAGGAATGGCAATGCATCACAAATAAAGAAGCTATTTATGAAACGGACCTGCATCTGTGTGATACGTGAACGTGCCTTATTCTCAGCAAAGGAAAGATTGCTATCAAATAGCACACCTAGGTTCCTAACTGATGACGAAGAATTAACAGAGCAGCCATCAAGTGTTAGACAGTGTTCTAGGTTATTACGTGTGGAGTTTTTAGGTCCTATAATTAACACCTCTGTTTTTTCTGAATTTGGAAGTAAGAAATTACTCGTCATCCAGTTTTTTATATCGACTATGCATTCCGCTAGTTTTTCAAATTGGTATGTTTCGCTGGGCCGCGAAGAAATATAGAGCTGAGTGTCATCAGCATAACAGTGAAAGCTAACACCGTGTTTCCTGATGATATCTCCCAAGGATAACATGTAAAGCGTGAAGAGTAACGGCCCTAGTACTGAGCCTTGAGGTACCCCATACTGCACTTGTGATCGATGTGATACCTCTTCATTCACTGCTACGAATTGATGGCGGTCAGATAAGTACGATTTGAACCATGCTAATGCACTTCCATTAATGCCAACATAGATTTCTAGTCTATTCAAAAGAATGTTGTGGTCAATAGTGTCGAACGCAGCGCTAAGATCCAATAGCACTAATAGAGAGATACACCCACGATCAGATGATAAGAGCAGGTCATTTGTAACTCTAAATCCTACTATGATACTATGATACTCCTAAAACAGGAGGCATTTGATTTCTCTGCCCTCGAGGATCAGACCAGGACAAGAGGACTTATCACGTGCCGATGCCAATTCATTAATATAGATATTAAATAGAGTCGGGCTGAAGCTGTCTGTCTGTCTCTCTGTCTGGCCATATACATTCAACATTCTGTCTTTGCATTAATGTTTCCTCGCTGGCTTTGAGTTCATATAGAAGAGATGTGAAGGTTTTAATTTTCCATCATTTCTCATGAGAAATACAAAGCTGGGCATTGTTGTAGCATCTGTAGTTTCTCTTCTGACCTCAGATTAACCGAATCAAAGAGCGCTGGCCGTGTTTGTCCTTGAGGCCATCAAGCTGCAACTCCCTTGCGTCAAGAGGAAGTCCAACACCTGCGTGTGAACGGCAATCTAAAGAAAGAAACAACAGTTTATTTGCCATTTGAGGACAACTTATAATGTTGTTTCATTCACTGCCGAACTGTCAATAAATGGTGTTTTCTGGTGTAACCCTAACCATATTCACATATTGGTCAAAACCAATACACTTTTGACCCAATTCTGAATATGTGCTTGTAGTGTGCCGCATTATTTCAATCCTATCACAGTACATTTATACACTTATGATTTGAATAGCTAACTCTGAAAAGATCAAATCTGGTAGAATTCAGTTGTTTTTATTCTAAAGCCTTTTAAATACACCAGCGATGAATGGGGAGAACTGGTCTGTTTTCCAGTTAAACATTTAAAAATAAATTCAAGTTTCATTTTCAAATCCATTAAGTGCTGTGGCTGGGTTCAGCATTCTGTTAATCAGATTTCAGCTATGAACAGCAGAGCGACGGGCTTAAACACACGGAGCCCCGGTGGCCTTTAGCACCTCTTTATCTGTCTATTCTGGGTTGAAGCCGAGCCGCAGTATTAACCCTAATCCAGCTGCAGCGTGTTGTTTTGATGAAGTGGTCACGCGGATCAGCTCCATCTCACCATCTGTCTCTCTGCGCCAGTGTTCCAGGTTCATTGATAGTGAAGTTTGTCACACTTCATGACAGTGATTGTGCTGCTGGTGGCTTCATAGGCTCTGCTGTCATGGAGGAATTTTGACAAACCCTCACCAGGTGAGTGTGATGTTCTGTTGCTGTTTTGTAAAACGCTGTGGCTGGAGGTGTTTTGTAGAATTAGAGCTAAATTACTCTGTACAACAGGTTAGAGAATGAGAATTCTATTTTTATTACTAATTAATCAAACCCCTTGAGGAAATAAGAGGATGGACAGATTATTTCAGATTTTCATTGATGTGAAGGGAATTATTTAAAATGATTTGAAAGTGAAATTCAGATTACAAGTGTTGTGACACATTTACCAGAATCAGAAACTGGAATGAGTTCATAGGTGTGAAAAATGTCTGATTTGATACATGTACTTCCAGCTGACAGACGTGACATGGGATGCGGAGTCACGAAATCAACCCAACTGCAGCTGAAACCATGCAATCGAGGTGCGTGAACCAACAAGATGATTAAAGTTTGACACTGTTCAAAGATTCAGTGCTTCGAACAGAATATCTGCCATTAAATGACTCTCCTGAGAGAAATACAGCTCACATTGCTCTATGTCTGTGTCTCTATCGATCGTGTCTGTCTATAGGGAACATCTCAGTTCCAGGTAATTCCTCCTCATTTATTTCAGTAAATGTCTCATTGTTGTCAGTGGGTGCGAATGAACATCAAACACTGTTTTTCTCTGTTTCTCTCACATGCAGCGGCTACAGGTCAGACAGATCACATGTTTCTGTGAGTCTAAAGAAACTTCACTGTCACTCATGTCTCCTGCTGGCCTGACTTTCTCTCGTCTGTCTGTCTGTCTGTCTCTCGTCTGTCTGTCTGTCTGTCTGTCTGTCTGTCTGTCTCTCGTCTGTCTGTCTGTCTGTCCTGTCTGTCTGTCTGTCTGTCTGTCTGTCTGTCTGTCTGTCTGTCTGTCTGTCTGTCTGTCTGTCTGTCTGTCTGTCTGTCTGTCTGTCTGTCTGTCTGTCTGTCTGTCTGTCTGTCTGTCTGTCTGTCTGTCTGTCTGTCTGTCTGTCTGTCTGTCTGTCTGTCTGTCTGTCTCTCGTCGGTCTGTCTCTCGTCTCTCTGTCTG